AATTTAAGAATTTTGTCCTGTAGCAGCATCCACATTAACCATGCAGCCCAAAGGATCTCAAGCTGTCAGGATCATCCCAGGGTCCTTGGCTGATCCACACAGAGCTGAGGCTTCACACTGTGTGGTGAAACTCTGTAAGCTGTGCAGCAATGGAGCTACAAAATGGTGATACTTGGGAGCAAATGTGTCCCTGTTTGCAAGTGTGGCTCAGCAGCTCCCCAGTAGAAGGGAGGAAAAGCCATCAGTGACTGTAGCATTGGGCAGTGTCACAGCCCATCCTGCTGAAAACCCTTCCCTCTCCCGAACATGTGCCTTCTTTTGGACATTAACAATGAGATGCCTGGATACCACCACATAGCTTTTCACATGGCTTGTCCTTATTTGTATTAATCTGACAAAACAAACCCAGAAAAACACGACAGTTAACCCTTTATGGGCTAACATGCAAGAAGAAGGCTAAAACGGTCTTTTATCCCCTTCTCTGCTCTCTGCAGCAGAGAGAACATGGCTTTTTGGGACTCACTACATCTCAAATCCTTCTCCTCCCTTACCTTAGTGCAGCAAGGACCAGGAGAAGCCTTACGGCTCCTCTCTGCCTTTGAGGTAGAATCTCCAGCTGTGAGGAGTTCTCAGGAGAATTGTACCTTGTAGCCAGGTATGTGGGAGACTAGCTAGTTTCAGTGTTTATCTCTGCAGAATTAAGCACCTCCAACATAGTATGTGAAGTGTATTTGTGCAGTACTTAAAGAATTATAATGGAAGCAGTAAAGGTTATCATAGATGTTTCAGAATTTTACATACAAAATATAGTTGTTGTTGTCCTGTACTGATAAGTGATACAGAAACAGCAGTACAAATTTATTACAGTGTTCCAGATGTGTTGTTAAGACTGAATTACAAAATTGTGTTCTTTTTAGCCTAAGACTGGAAGATGATGGGGCACTCCCCATCAGTGCTTTAGACCAGATCCACAAGTAGAGCTAGCATGTTTCTTCACAAATATTTCAGTCCTCAAAACCACAGAGGTCAACTGGCCAGCAGGGACTGGGAAGTCAGGGAGACATTGGCACTGCTCAGACTTCTGCTGAAGGTGTCTCCTGGTGGGAATTTTCTAATTTCTTCTCAAGGATGGGTTGTTCACAGATTTACCACTAAATACTATCCTAGAAAGATTCCCAAAGAAAGTACTCCTAAGCTCCAGGGTTTTTCCTCATTAATGGAACTGTTGTGAGGACAGATGGTGAACCACTGATTTCATGGTAGCAATACAGGAAGCAAGAAGAAACATTTGTCATGGCTTTAATGGAACCAATGCCCATGTATTTAATTTCCTAGTCAAGCCAACAATGAGGCCTTGCTGAATTAATAGCACCATGGGAGAAAGGTACAATCTATATGAAAATAACATAGTCCTGTCATTAAGCAACTGCAGAAACCTAATTAACTACTTTCTTGCATTTAAAAGCATTTTCCAGTAAAAACCCCTAAACTTAGTGACTTTGATGTCCTAATGACTTACTGTTTAGTTTCCAGAATGACTGTAATTTTCAAAGATATTCTTCAATCAAGACACATCTTCTACACTATTAATAAATCCATTCTATATCATCAGGCACACAATACAGCATGTGGAGCAGTATTTTAAGCTCATCTGCTGTAGGTCCCTTCAAAGAATTTCTCCACTAACGAGTGCTGGAAGTTGCAAAAACATCTTGTAGCTTTTAAAAAACTAGTTTTTAAAAAGCACAAATGCTTCCCAGAACTTGAATTATTTAGCCTGGATAAAGGATCTTGCAGTCTCCTCATAGCTACTGCTGACACTTACGCACACATGCATACTTCCAGTGCCATGATGCTGGTATTTTGACAGTCTCTGTGCACCCCTCTTTATGTGCTTGTTTCAACATGCTTCAAGCTGTCATGGTTTTTTTATGCAAGCAGAGCTAAGGCCTGCCTATTTCATACACTGACAAGCTGAGAGGAAAATACAGTTCCCAGGGAGACTGAGTACTAGAAAGAAGATTGGGGTTGCTTCCTTCCTAAAGGTCACACAAGTGTGGCTAGGCAAACAGTACCTCTGGGCCTTTACTCCAGCTCCTTATGCTGCCTTCAGCCAGTTTTACACGAGAGTTAAGCCAGTAATTTCAGGTAACTTTGCCTTGCTTCTCACTGCTATAAAGCAAGAGATGCAGGTTGATGGTGTGCATTATCTTCAGGATCTAATCTGGTCAGATACCCACACCAAATTAATAAATCTGCTGTTTGCACACCTTATCTGCTATTGAAGCAGATGCATGATCCTTGGAGAGGTCAGACAAGTTGATCTCCAGGCAGGAAGAAAAAAATGGAATTGTTCTTGAATTCCTTCAGTTTCTTTTGAATTGTGAGCAGCTCTGTCACATTGCAGATATTCTGCTCCAAAATCCCCATGGTTAAAGGCCACACTACAAGACTGTACCCAGAGAGGAATCCTGTAGTGCTGGTGATGAATCGGGCACTCTGGTAATTTACCGGCAAGTAATGGATGGTTTTCAGGGCGTATTCTATGTTTAAAGGCAGCATATGAACAAGACTTTCCAAGCCAACATATTTTCATAATTTCCAAATCTAACTGATTAACAGATAGAGATCTGGTTACAGAACCCCTTTACATGAGCACATGCCAGATTAACCAATTAAACAGCTTAATATTTTCCTGTGTCCAGCATCCTTGGTGAGACATGTTCAATTGGTACCCTTGGCCGCCTCCTTGTACATTCACATTCTTCCTTAAGTATCTGTCCTGAAGCCCTTGAAGTCACCTTGAGCTCCTTCTCTTGACAAACAGGACAGCAAGCTGTAAGACCTTTGTTGCAACAACCTGGACATGTCAGAACAAGCTGCCGGCAGTGCTGACTGGAACAAAGTTTATACTGGTCCCACAGCACCCCACAGTATCTGCATGCTGGAGGGAGGAGGAAAAGAAAAAGTTAACACCCATACTGCTCTGGCTGCTCCCTCGCAGAGGGCTTGCAAAGGCACCATTGGGCTGCCAGCTCTCATTTAAGTGGTTATTGTCTTGCAGGTTTTTAATTCCTGTTTAGCTTGATCTTCTAGAATCTAGTTCATTTTAGAACATATTTTTTGACATACTTAAGACTTAAGTTTTCCCTCTGGAAAAGAGAAGAGTAGCTCACTTGTGCTTCCTCTAGTTCTAAATAGACAGATATAGAGCTTTTTACTGCCACAAGAGAAGAAGAAAGACATGCAGATGGCAACTAAGCCAGAATGCAGGAATGTCACCTGCTGAGGAAGAGGATGCCATGGAACTTCCTTCTATCTACAAACAATGGCTTGTGCAGACATTTGCAGTCCTGGTAGAGTCCTTCCAGAACATCAGAGGTTTTAACTCTTTAACTGAAAGCTACAGCCCAGTTTTAGCTGTACCAAAAAGATGCATATCACAGCACTTCCCCTTGAAACCTACGGATGGCTGTGATGTAGCCAGAGTATGTTCTGTTTCCATACCAAGTCAGTCCCTTTCAAGATGTATAGAGTAAATGCAGAGTAGAAATGGGAGGTTATGCTTGAAAAGCTACCAAGTCAAAGAAAAAATAGCACTGCTTCTTTTAAAAAAGGGCCAGAGCCAAATTCCAGCTAGTGTTGTCTGGCAACTGACAGCAAAACAGGAGACTACTTAATTTTCAGTAATTGAAGAGCAATCCCAGCCAGAAGATCAGGTAATGTTCTTAACAATTTCAGCTAGAGGCCACTGAAATTCCATTGGATATAGAATTTCTTAAGCATGAAAATAACAAAGTGCTGCAGAATATAGTGCCACAATTCTCCCAATACCTGGAAGTCTTTTTTGATATTCCATGAGACAGCTGGACCAGAGGACTGCTGGTAGCAGAAGAACTATCTAAGACTGGTCACTTGGCCAACCACAGTCTGCTCAGCACTGTGGGCAACCAGGTGGTAACAACAGCTGTAGTGCTGGACATATGTCTCCATAGGTGCAGATGGCTCAAAGAAGAGCTGTTCTGCAGGGGATACTTCCTTCTGCTGCTCCAGTTTTAGTGAACTCTTGTTAGTGACCCTCTTTCCTCTCATTTCTGTTCCACATATTAAAGCACATGTACATGTTTACATATAGTGTTGATAGTCATCACAAGAAATGACAGCACTCCGAGATCAAACCAAGTATGAGGAAGAACTACACAGGCCAATTTGGCTGTCCCTATCCTGCATACCTCTGGAAATTATTGCAATAGTTTCCCAGCCTTCTGCACTTACATTATCTAGTCCTACCTGAGATGATATCTTCATTGGAACAAATGGCGTAACGATCATCAAATACAAACAGCTTCCCCCTGTAGAATCCATCTGGAAACTCTTCTAGGTACTTGTGAATTCCACCTTTTAGCTGGTAAACCTCTCTGCACACTGCCTGTTTAAAGCATATTAGCAGAAAAGCTGAAGGAGACCACAGAGGTGGTGGTGTGCCAGAGTTCCCAAAGCAAATGCTGTAAATGCCAGGGGTCAGTGAAAAGCCAGCAGCCTCTCAGTGACCATCAGATGGCACCACGTGCAGCCACAGCTCTAGGCAGTGTCACTAGGGACCACTGGGCAGCTCCACAATGCTGGCTTGTTGGAATGAACCCACCTCTTCATTTAATGTTACATTCAAAATAAGCTGGCAACCTCCTCACCTGAGGAAGGTTTGCTGCACCATAGACCAAATGCTTTTGAATCTCCATGAACTGCTGCTTGTTATTCAGTATTTGTTCAGTTAAAAGTTAGTAGGAGCAGAATTTTGCAGGGTTCACATTGATGAAGTGGAAAAAAGAACCCCAAGGTTTAAATCTCTACAGAACCTATGTGTTCTGTTCCCTTGATCCTTGAGAGAAGGATGCAGGAGAAGAGTGGGATGGAAATTTCAGAACACAGAACAACACACTTTGCTGGATTTAGTTCTGGGAAAAGCACTGACTGGCTAATTTTCACCACTGTGAGATGCTCAAGATGTGCAGTAACGAAAGCATAACCTAGGCAGTCTGTGAAAACACGGCAGAGTATTTTCAAGCCCTCCTAATACAATCCTACAAATATCTCTTCTCAGTAAATGGGTTATGTAATTATTTTCACTGCTGTGACACTATTCATGCAGGTCATACTGAGCCACACTCAACTATCAGATCCTTGACAGTGTGAGACAAGCACATGTTAGAGGCATTTATCTCCACACCTGAGCATTCTGCAGTTTGTGCACAGTAAGAATTCACCAGCAATAAAAAAGACAGATGCCCTTAAAGCAGTCTCAACTCCCCGACTCTTGTGCCCTCCAAATGACATCTTACCTTGCTCCTGAGGTAAGCAGAGCCTCTTTCACAACGAATCCCTCCTGTGCAGTACATTAGGACACGCTTGTCTTTAAAAAGCTCCAGGTTTTCATCTACATAGCTTGGAAAATAGCTGAACTTCCTGATATCTGGAGCCAGACAGCCCTGGAAATGTCCCTGCAATTACAACAAATGGCCACGCAACTAGTTACAAGTACTGTTACTGGCAAGGTCTCTGCCTCAAACTCGAGTAAGTAACAAACCTTTGGGCTGGAATATTCAGCTCACTGCAGCTGTTTTAGGCAGCTCCTCAGCTGCATTTATGCATCAAAACATATATTTAAATCTGTAGGAGGATTCTGGACACAGCAAGTCTCCTCACTGAAAGAAGAGAGAGCTAAGCTGAACTGTCAGAGAGAGGACAAACCACAAGAATGCATGAGAGGTGGCAGTTGTGACAGCAGGATGCCCATTTCTTTTTGACAGATAGGACAAGACAAAAATTGCTAAAAAACATCCCTACAAATTATGCTACTTCAAACATGCTCATATTGTATGGACCTCTTTATTTTCTAACTGGCCCACACTCTATAAGCACTTGGCTAGGCAGGCTCCATCCTGAGTTGGTGGGCAGGTCCTCCATTCCTTGTGTCTAATATTAATTAATAAACTGCAGTATGTACACATTATAGTCAAGCTGGAATATGTAATCTCTTCTAATAGTAAAGTTACACCCTCACAATCATAAATACTTCATCCCAGCACCTGTAAAGAAGCAGGCAAGCAGTACTTACAATTTTACTTTCATAGAAGTTCCTGCAGTCCAGCAAGATGGTATCGCTTTGTCCTTGAGTGGCCTGAGACAAATACTGTTCTACCTCTCTATGAAATTCCTGAGGGGATAAATGGATTCCTTTAACAAAACAAAACAAAAATTAAAAAAAAAAATTAAAAAAGAGGCAGGGGGGGAAGAAAAGTGAGAAGCAGAACTATGAATCACAAATGAGATCACTGACCCAGATTCTCCTCAGATTTCCAAACAAAACTTTTTTGTTACTGTTCACAGACTTTTCATCCCAACTCAATTAGCCAAGTTTATCCATGTTTAGCTTTCTATTGGCAAATGAAAGAAAACACAGCACTCTTCCATGCGATGGAAAAAGGGCAGACAGGAACTTATCTCTGTGATCTTTGCTGCATCCCCCTAGTTACTCTTACAGCTGTAGAAGAGGGAGTGACATGTGCCACTTCTCTTTGCTCATGTCATTAAACTTGGAGGTGCAGAAATACAATTTTTAAAATTAAACTCTTCTTGATAACAATAGAAAATTTCCATAAACACGTATTACTTTCAGTACAACTTCAATTTACATAAAGACTCTCAATTTTCAGGGCTTAGGACCCTTAATCTACTGAAAAACTAAAAAGCTCCATCAGCAAAATCCCTTACTTTATTAAAAACTATCCCAACAAGTAACCTGCCAGAGTAATAGGAATCATCTCCATAAAATGCTACAAAAGAGGAGGAAAAAGAGCAAAAAAGGAAAGAAATAGCCAAACATACAGTCCACAAACTACCAAAAAAATGGGAGCAAAAAATAATCCTCTTCCAAATTCAAAGAAAGATGCTGTGGAAGTTTGGCACCAACAAAACCTCTTGGTGGAAAAAAAAGCCCAAAGCTGCTCTGTTAATTGCTATTTGCTGTGCTTCTGCTTATCACCGATGTAAGCATCCTTAAAGCAAATCCACAGCTAGGAACAGCTTATCAGGTATAATCCACACTAAACAGCTACAGTTAGGACAAAACAAATGCAGTCAGCTGGAGTTCATGCAGAGCTTGGATCTGCTTAGTGCAAAAGGCAGGAGCATGGCTGTTGGCTCCAAAATGAGTGAAGCCAGGTCAGCAGTCCCTACCCCACAACAAGGTAACTGCTCCATGTCATCTGAACTCTCCCACAAAACCTGAAGTTAATTCTGAAGTTTTCTGAGGCAGCTAAACACTTGGCTAGGCAAAATCTAGGCCAGCAAATTCTCTGCACCAGTAGCTTTTGACTACCAGTGAGATACCAATTTCTGTATCTATTTCTCCTGTGTCCTGGCCATTGTGCAAAGAAAGGGAAGTATTTTTGATGAAGGATTTTACTCTTCACTCACCTCTCACTGGGTGAGAGGCTTTATTTTTCATTACATAAACTTACCAGTTTCCTTGTAAGACACTATCTTTGGATCAATGCCCATAGGTACAATTTCTTTGAATACTCCAACTCGAAGGTCTGGGAAACAGTGAGCTCCTCCTGCGCTGCTCTTGGAAATCAAACATAAAAAATATTTAATTCTACAGATCATTAGAATATGAAAATATCTTTGTGGCTGAGGGAAAGAAATGCCCTTCCTGCTGAACTCCACACTCTAAATCCTGAAGTTTAGGCAGTGGACACCTAACACAACCTGGAAGACAGGTGTCTTAGGCCCAATGACTGCAGGTGAGACAGACAGCATTTGGCTGGAAGTGCAGGGATGCAGACCAAATTTTAGTCAGCAATATGTTATTAGCACTTATTGTGAGAAAGTTGAGGCCCCTATAAAAGCATGCTGATCTTGACAGGAATGTTAAATTATGTCCTCCAGTAATGGATCATGCTGCCACATGTAGGCCCTGCTGTTTTCTTCATCCCTCTAGCACCGGATACAAGCACAGCTGTGCCTCCAGTTGTGACGTGTGTCATGGGAACTGCAGTGTTCACGCATATGACAGAGATGTATGGGAGGTCAGCCAGGCACAAGATTTGCTAAAAGTGGAGGCTGGCACCTTCCCCTCCCTTCAAACTGAATCGTGGGATTTCCTCTTCACAAATCCTGGTAAGCCCTTTTTCAGTAGGCACCCCCATTGCAGGCTACAGGGAGTGTGAATTTCTGTAGGACTGAGCCTCAAACATGGCTTAGGCATCATCAAGTATATAAACACTCAAAGAAAAGTCCAGTGCTGTGTAGCAGTGTTCCAACTATTATGGGCCACTGGGCATGCTGGTAGCCCCAAGTACAGTTCTCTCTCCATGTTGCAGTGTGCTTTCATCGTTTACCCCCAAACCCTGGTTCCTCCCCTGAAGTTGTCCTCCCAGGTGTGTCAATCACTTCTCCTTTCCCCACCCTGACCCTCTGCCAAGCACTGTCTGTCACTTCTGGAATTCCAGAAGGGCATAGAGTGATTGAGCAGGTTCAAAAGATGCTCTCCACCCCTAGGAAGGCATTGGGCCATCCTTTGTCCTTTGTCCCGTGAGACGTCCTCTCCCTCCTCTCCCGTACCTGGTTGGTGGCTCCCTATCCCTTCCCCCGTCCGCTCCCCCAGGTAAAAGAGAGGGGAACCACACGGTCTGGGAGTGGTGGAGCTGCGACTGGATTCAGAGGCCTGCAGGCCAGAATAAAAGCTCTGGATTAAAACCCTCCATCAGAACCGACGCCTTTCCTTCACCATAGCCTTACAGGCTTCTCTGGCAGAGGGAAACCTGAGGAGCAGACCCTCTGCAAGGAAGCTACATCCACAGCCACCTGAGCTCTGGCTTGTCTGGACTTGCGTCCATGCTCCCAGCTGCAACATCCAGCTAGCTAAAGGTGTCTCTGGGGTGAAACACCACAGTGGCTGCCATTTGGTTCAGCAGCAGGGCCAGACAAGCCAGGGCACATCCCATTCTCAATATTGGTAACACCAGTAACTCCTCTATCCCATGTCTTCATGGCACAGTAACCTGAAAGCCTCACTCACTTGGGCATACAACAGTCAGGAGGAACTGTGAGACAGCAAACACTATATTTGACTAATGCATGAACACTGACGCCCAGAGAGATCATGCAAGGTTGAAGGTTTTGCCAAGGTAAAATTCCATCCCTCCTTTTTTTTCTTTTGTATCTACATATGACTGTAACTAACACAACTCCTCTTGAAATTCAGCCAAGCATAACAGACACTTATAAAGCTAGGACTGAATCATCACTGCAGCTCAGCATGGAATTTGATTTTCGCAGGTTTCACTAACTCCTTTGATCTAGTTGCTTATGAAAAAATAGTAGGACTCCCTGCAAATAAAACTGTGTGGAAAAGAGCTACAGCTTAAGCAGAAGCTTTCCTTCCTTGCAGAGAAGCTAGAACTTAAGAGTGGCTGGCAGCCAAAGCCTACCAGATGCCATATAGCACACCAGCCACTGCTGCCTTCATCATGAGACGACACCAATCAGTATGTATACTCCAGCCAAACACTAAGTGAAGTAGCAAGAAACCTCTTGACAGTCCCTGTGTGTTTTCTCTGGAAGATACCCAATCCATGGAACTGACAGTGCACCTATATGGGCACCAAAACCTGCATAAACCTAAACCAGTAGTACTGCTTCCCGTCAAAGCAGGGTGAAGAGGACAGTGTGCAAACACTTTGCTGGGCTAAGTGTATGTCATGATGCCTGCTCAGTCTGCAGTAAATGCTTGTTGCAGAATGATGGGGCTTAGGCACACTCCCTCACTCACCTGTATTCAGGGGCTTTGAAGCTGCACCCATAGCTGCCAAAGCTTGTAGCAGTGACTATCACTGTCCATGGAAACTCCCAATTCTTGTAAAAACCAGCAAAGATTTTCAGTACGGTTAAGATCCACCAACTTAGGTAAGTGGTGGGGGAGCAGAACTGCTACAGCAGAAGTAATACTGTCAAAAAGGAAACTACTTATTTCTTGAAAATTAAATTACTTGCATTAATAATACCTACGTAAATTTTTTGTCATACCTTGAAATCCTCTTGACACAAAGTGTTTTTGAACAGAGGCTGGGAAAGCATAACTTTAATGTAAAGACTGGTAGCTACTTTGCTTCCACCAACTGTCCCATTAATCCCCTCTGAAGCAACTCGTACCTAGAAGGCAAGAGGAGAAGCTGGGGCTGAGCCTTAATTACAGCAAAAGAGATCATAGTGAAATTGGCAAATTATGAATATGGCAAAATATTTGCCTGTGACACAGGGCAGGCACAGGAGTATGTTCAGGAAAGAGACTACTGATTAAGGAAGGAAAATATGGTTAGTCTGAAGTTGAACATAAAGACAATAACCAGGAAAAAAAACCCTCAACAATCCAGTAACCATTTCTCAGCCATTTTAAAAGAATCACACCAGGACAGTCAGAGAAGTCCATTCAATAAACAGAGAAATGCTGTATAAACACAGAAATTGCTGTCTGCAAATCCTGCAGTCGGCATTAGAATTCCCACTGGAAGTTACCTCAGAAAGAACAATAGGTTTGTGCTGCATGACTCACACAGCTAAAAAAGAAAATGTGAATATGCATAACATTGTATCAAATATTAATTTTTGGGATGAGTCATTTTATCCCCAGCACTGACAAATGAACAAAAGCTCTGAAGTGGGGGTTGGGGGGAAGGGCGAAAGACTGAATATAAGAAGCAAGGAGAAAAACAGCTGATTGGGCTCTACCTGTCTTGGAGATGAGATGGGAAAAAAAAAAGAAAAGAAACTTGAGCAAAACACCAACTACCAGAGAAGACAGCTGAGCAGAAAAAGGAGTGAATGTATGACAACACTTCACCCCCAGGCCTGTGTTGATGTATCACTGGCAGAGAGCAAGAAGCTAATTAGGAAGACAAGTCTCAGATAAAAGGATTTTCCTGCTCCACGTTGCTCTCCTTCTCCTCACAGATAGCCTAGGAACATCAACTTTCTGAGACTAAAATTCACCTTTGCACACAGCATCCAGAGGTCAGGTACACAAGCAACTGATGTCATTAGTCTAACCTGCCAGGAATGAAAATAACAGACTGTGCAGAAAAGAAAAATGCTACATTATGGTGTAGTCTAAGGTGTTGGCTGTTCTCACCTTCCCAACAGTATGGCTTACAGCTTGCTGTAGCCACTCTGCATGGAAGCCCACTGTGCACTGAGGAAGGAGGGTACAGGTGCCCAGTGAGTGGAGCAGGCCCAGACCCACGCTATCCCTCCAGCTTGGCCCTCAGGCTGCGTTGTGCTGCATGTGTCCTTCAGCCACAGCATACACCCAGCCTGCTAATGCTAACCGAGATGCCTGAATGCAGCTCTCTGCTGACACCAATGATTAAGTCACTTTCATCTCCCTGCCTTTATAGAAAAATGCATCACGACTTTCTCATGTGAATATCCTTTCTGGTTGACAGCAGGAGTGATAAAAAGACTGTTTCCATGTGTAAAACTGATGGAAACAGGGTAATCCTTGCAAGGCCAGGGTCTGCACAGTGTGCTGCCTGTAAGGCTCACTCAGTGCCACACAACCCAGGGCTCCCTACATCAAAAGGGATTTAAGGGGATTTAAGATTATCTGTATTTTTTTTTCTTTGTTGTGATAGCTCTTAAACAGAATTCTAAAAGATACCTTACCAAGTCTGAGTGTCTGTCTTAATGGGATCATAACAGACTAGCACTTTCTGATGCAAAACACATGTGGTTCTCCATATAACCCATCATCCTGCACTACGTAAAGATATGGGGCTTTTTCCTTTAAGAATAGAACCATTGCGGCAAACCTTACCTTGCCAGTGAGATGTAGATGCTGACACAAAGCCTTCTGCCAAGCACAGAGTTTCTCTGGATCCCTCACCTCACAGTAACAGTAATAGAGAAGTACGTCTCCCACCTGGCTGCCCACAGCATGGTAAAGGTAAGCAAAAAGAAAAATAATGTTAAGAAAGAACAAAATTGTACTATTAGCAGTAACCATTCAAAAAGCAGACAATTTTCTTTTGGCAGATCTGTAGAGAAAAAAATCCCCTGAAACAAACTTTGTAGGGATTAGACCTACTGGTTTGGTTTATTTCAAACAGAATGAATGTTAACCAAAAAAAAAGCTCCCAGACTTCTAATCCTCGGGACTAGTTACAAAGTGAACTTTGTACTCTCACTTCCAGGGCCTACCATATGCTCTCCCCACACACAGAACACAAGAATTGCTGGCTTTTATCCATACATGCAAGCCATTTGGCTCACTTTACCAAAATGGCACTTGAAAACTCAAGCACTTGAGCTGTCTAAATTTAAAAAGCCTAAGTTTTTTGTGAGATTGCACATTCCCACATTCTGTGCAGCACAAGCTGAACTCTGTCACAGTCAGAAGCGTTTCTATGAACCTTCTTCATAACTAACTTCAGGAACTTGAACGAACAGCAGAAAGGAACCCGTGCAAAGCATATCCTGCTGTTCTGCCCTTCTCTGTTGTGGTCCTTCCTTACAGATCCAAGCTGTCAAGCAACACCCATACAGACCTGCTTTAACAGTACAGAAGAATAGTTCAATCCACCGTTAAAAACTGCAAGGGATCTAGCTCTTTATATAAAGGATACACAAAGAATGTGAAGATCTAGAAGAATATTGGGGAATACTCTCTTCCTATACCTTAGAAGCGTGGCTTAAGAAGTACTTCTCATAAGAAGTACACTGGCAGATGATCATGTAAAGCTGAATATCCCAGTGCTGGAGCTTCAGGGAGGCGAGGAGCTTCCTTACCTGGTCAGATCGTCGTGGCTGACGTGGCTGGTGTCCGGGAGCGCCCAGGAGATCTCCGGGCCGCCGCAGGAGCGCCCGCTCGGCCGGGCCGCGGCGTCGGCGGGCGGCGCGCCCAGCCCCGCCTGCCGCCCCACGTCCCCGGAGTGGTGCAGCGCCACGTGCCTGTGGATGCCGGGCAGCTCCTCGAACGCCTGCCGGCAGCACCGCCACCGCACGCCCTCTCCTCCGCCGGGACACCGCGACGCGGCCGGCACCTCCTTGGCTTTGACGAACAGGGAAAAGGCCTGGAACGCACCGCAAGCGTCCTCGTTACCGAGGTTACAGCGCGGCCCAGGCCCGGCCCCGGCCCCGACCCACCTTCCTGCGGGCGGCCGCGCACTGCTTCCTGCCCGCCGCCGCCCCCTCGGCGCTGCCCCGCGGCGCCGCCTCGCCCAGCACCATCTCCCCCTCTCCGCCGGGAAGCGCCCGCTCTCCGCCTCCTCCCGCCGGCTCCGTCCCCGACCCGGAACGGCTCGGGTTCCTCAGGGAAGTGGGCGGGCCGGGCCGCGCGCGCCCCGGAAGCGGCGCGGCCGCGGGCGGGGAGGCAGCGCGCTTGCTCGGCCCGCGCGGCGCCTCGGCCCAGCGCTTCCCGCAGCTCCGCGCCGCTCCGCACTGCTCGGCGCTGCTCCTCCCGCTGCTCCCCCCCGCTGCTCCGGGCCATGTCGCGGCGGCGGCACAGCGACGACAGCGATGGTGAGCCCCGCGCCCCCCTCGCGGTGTCCCGGCGGGAGGGTGGGTCGGGCGGGATGGAGGAGCGGCGGGGTTGAGAGCGGCAGGGTTTCTGCGGCGGCGGTAACGCTCTGCTTGGTGTGTTGTGGAGCAGGGCAGCCCCACAAGAGACGGAGGACGTCCGAGCCGTCGGAAATTGAGGAGAGGCTCGAGTCGCTCATCTGCAGGGTGGGAGAGAAGGTAGGTGGGCCGGCGGCTCGGGGAACTCAAGCCTCGTTTCCCTTCTCCCTGTCCCTTGCATGGTGTGGGTGCGCTTCGTCTGTAGTAGCGACCCTCAAAAAATGCTTATTTTGTGAGGTGGATGGAAAGTTGCCGGTTTTTTTTGCTAAGCCACGTGCTGCGGCGGGTAAGTGCTTAAATCGTAGCGTGGTGCTTCCCAGTCGGGGATACACGGCCCGAGTTACTGTTGTACCTAGAGATGGTGCTGGTGATTCTGGCGTGCGAAGGGTGCGAAAGAATTAACTGCTCTTCCTGCGGCACAAGTTTCCAGTCCCGACGGTGGGGCTGATGGAGGAGGGGGTGGCAGAACAATAGGTGATGATGCGCAGAGAAACTAGGTGTTTTTCAGCTTCGTGTTGTGTTGTTAATCAATGCTCGGCTGGTCGGGATGCTCCTGAGGTGATGTTCGATCTTGCATCCCGGGGGAAAGCTGAAGTTCCTAGCGAGGGAGTTTGGCGGTCAGGTGGAACTCTTGTTAGGCAAGCGAGAACAGATCTTCGCTTTTGATGGAACCCGAGTATTGCCCCGAAAAATGAGGCGACACGAAAGGATGCTCATGTCTTACATGTGGGAGTTGGACTAGTTCGTTTTGCCTGGTTGATGAAACTTTCTTCTGTTTGTTTGTTTTGTTTTCATTTTAGAGTAATTCATCTTTGGAGAGCAACCTGGAGGGCCTAGCTGGTGTTTTGGAAGCTGATCTGCCAAATTACAAAAGCAAGATACTAAGAATACTGTGTACTGTGTACGTATTGAGAAGGTCTGGGAATATGGGGTGTGCTTTCGGTGTGCCTAAGTTTGGTTTTAAGGTAGTCTAAAAGCCATGAATAGCTTTAGTTTGTGATTGGTGTCATAGCTTAGGGTTTGCCTTACTACAAACGAAAGACATAGAGGAACAAGTTCGCTATGTATTTGGTGTAATTCAAGAAAAATACCTTTTTACTTTGCTTTGACTTGAAATGTGTATAAAGGCTTGAAGCAGGTAGATGAAACATTAGAACTGGTCTGCAGTAGCTGTGGGAACGCAGCAATACCGGGTAAAATCCTTTTTCACGTGAAACGCTTAAGCGCTTAAGACCACCAGAGTGGCTGCTAACATCTATCTGTGTTATCTTGATGTTTTCTCACAGCTTTCTCTTCCCTGGCAGTCACGTGCTCAAGTCTTTGTAAGCACATTTGCTAGAGGGGAAGGACTGGGAACGGGAGGAGCAGAAACCAGGCTCTGGTGGCTGCCAGCTCTCTTTCCTCTCCCTGCAAAATGCAGGAGCAGAGATGCTATGACAGGGTCACTGAATGGTGTTGAGGGAGGGGTTGTGCAGGGTCTGTTGCAAGAGGTAAGACAATTCCGAAGGAAGGGTGTGGTGCAGACTATGTAGCCTGTTCTAATATTTTGCAGATACTTAAAGTTTCTTTTTTAGCTATATTTTTAATAACAGGTAAGTAGTGTGCTTCCTTCCCTGGCAGCAGAAAGACACTGCTTACTTACCTGCTTAAAATGGTAGAGGTAAATTACTTTTCTACAGTAGGACCTAGTATTCCTTATGCTGTGTAATGACTTTACTATTGACTATGGACTTAAACAACTTCTTGCATTCTTGCAATAAATTCTGTCACTAATATTATTTGTCCAACCCTGTGGGATACTCAGCAATTAGATATAAATGAAAAGCAAATATTTTGTACTAGAAAGTGATAGTAGCTGTCTTTTCTGATTTTCTGATTTCCTCATGAGCCAAGTTTTAACTTACAATACGCGGATTCTAAGATGCCATGCAGTGGCCAACTGGCACATGATGAATAAACAACTAACATATTATTTCTTTTTCTGTGTCAGTGCACGTCTGCTACCAGAAAAGCTTACTGTTTACACGACATTGGTGGGCTTGCTGAATGCCAGGAACTACAATTTTGGTGGGGAATTTGTAGAAGCCATGATTCGTCAGCTTAAAGAATGTCTGAAAGTAAACATGTATAATGAAGCTGTGCATTTAGTAAGTGGAGTTTTATTTGTCTATTTTTTTCATATCCTTATTCTTTCCTCTTTTCACCTTTTTGTTATAGAGAGCTGGACCTTGCAATGTGTGTTTTAGTGTCTTTTGCCATCAATGTGCAGTGCACTTTAAATATTCCAAGAGGAAATGTGTGTTAGCAGTATTTTCTTTTTCAAGGACGAGGACTTGTATTACATTTACAAAATGTAGTTCCAATGGTATCTTTTTCACAGTGAAAAATTAAATGTGTGTTAAACAGAGGTGCTTTTCACTGCTTGTTCTTCAGTCAAATGTAAAAGATAAAAAAAAAAAGTGCTTCCTGTCTTTGAAACCATTTGCTTCATCCTTACTGCTTATAGATTTTGTCTGCTGTAAGCTATTAGAACTTCAGCAGTGTCTGATTTAGAAGCCCACTGCCAAGTTCCTCACCTTCTGAATCCCACTGGTGAAAATTAAGATTCTAGTCAAGAGACTGAACTTCAGTCAACCGTGATATTATCTTTGCTAATAAGATCTATTGCTAGAGCTTGCTGTTATTTTTGTTATCTGATACTGTACAGAATAGAGAGAAGTACCGTGGTTTTCTTCTGTAGTATCAGTCTGCATGTTTTCCACCATTCCTTAATTAGGAATGTTGTCCTTACAATGTTAATTGCAGTGGGAGGGATTAAGGACATTTTAGTGAACAATATGCTAGACAGCACATATTATGGCTTGTCATTGCAAGGTGAGTCTGTACAGTGTGCAGTATTTCATTGTGGTACTGAATGAGTATTATGCTTTTATTGGTGATTTATTTTAATAATTTCAGTAATTTTATTTGTTCTTCTGCAGCCAGTTTAAAAGGTATTCATTTAGAACTTTTTTTTCCTCTTCTTGAGGTACGTTTTCTGTCCGATCTCGTGAATTGCCATGTAATAGCTGCACCTTCAATGGTAGCTATGTTTGAGAACTTTGTGAGTGTGACACAGGAGGAGGATGTACCCCAGGTAAGCAGAAGATCTGTAGACTTCCTGGGCCTGTTTCACAGCATGTCTGTACTTTTTGTTCTGTTCTTATGCTTAGAAGAGGGAGGGTTTAGGGAGAGCAACCTAAATGGATTGACACATAACAGTTTCCTGACCACTAGTAAAAGGAGCCTGTGGCAATTGGGAAATATGTGTACAGTAAGAAAGTATGGTCCTTTATAGTGAAGTGGCCAAATTGAATTTATTTTACTTTACTCTGGCAATTGCAGTTTGCCTGGTATTTCTGCTGTACTGACAATATCCAGGAGAACTTTGAAAGTGATGCCATTTATCCCATTTTCTAATCTGCCTAACACAGTTCAAATGAAAAATTATACTTTTCAAGCATGAATATTTTTTCTCGTGCCTTGTCTATCCAGTCTGCAAATGCTGGTCTTTACATTCCCCCAAAACAACCTGCTGATGTTTTAAATTTAAATGTCTGTGTATAAAATCTGCTGAAGCTTACTGGTATACTCAGGTTTTGGTATATTGCCTTCCTATAGGTGCGATGTGACTGGTATATGTTTGCATTTCTGTCATCTTTGCCTTGGGTTGGAAAGGAATTATATGAGAAGAAGGATGCTGAAATGGATCGTCTCTTGTCTCAGGCAGAAAGTTATCTGAAGTAAGTTGTAACTGGTTAGAAACACTCTTTGGTATCTTTGTGTGAAGTAATAGTGTTCACTGTTGCTCACTTTAAAGTATTCTAAGGTTTTAGGTGTGAACCATTTTGTGGGGAAACAAAGCCCTAAAAATGCAGTAGGTGGAGAGTTTTTTGAATTTGAAAAGTTTTACAGTCTTGTCTAGTTTTAAAGTATGTTTAAGGTCTTGTTCTGCTCAAGCTGAAGCAGATGGAGTTGTGAGTGTGCTGTTAATACAAATAGATTGTTGCATCAGTGCTGTGTAGTGTCCATGCTTTCTGTCTGGGTGCTTCATGTTAATGTTGTCAAGATCTGGTAATGGAGATACTTAAAGTACCACAAGCCTGATTTTTATTCACTGTAGTCTTCATCAGCTGAAGAAAATGAATAGTATACAGTCACAATAAAAACAAAACTGCTACTCTAAATTAGTCTGTTAAAGGTCAGATTTTCTCTCTTGTTTAAACAGACGCCGCCAGAAGATTCATGTACCCATGCTGCAAGTGTGGACTGCTGACAAACCACATCCACAAGAAGAGGTGATTAGACTTTACACTTCATTCCTTCAAAAAGATGGAAAAACAATTTTTTACTCAGGTGTTCTTTTATGATGAAATCAGAAGGCATCTCTAAGAGTATGAATCCTTTGATTTGTCTGCTGTTTGCCATTGATTCCAATAAGTTCTGTGTGGGGAGTTCTTTTCCAAGTATTGGGCCAAAATAAGAGGTTGAGTAAGAAGGAGGGGATTCTGTTTGCTGCAAGCCCCTGAGGAAGTTGTGAAGTAAATTGTAGTGTTTGATTTTGAAATTCAGATTACA